AGTTTGTTCAAAAATGGTGTTTTCTATGTCGTTTACAGGTTCAAGGAGGATCTTGATGCTGTTCGAGCAAAATCGAAAGTGAAAACCAAACGCAGCGTTTTCAGCCTTACGACTACTTGGATCCGAAACTCATTCCAAACGCTATCAGCATCTAGGAAATCTGATCGAGTAGTTTCTGGAAGTGGTCAAGAATATTTAAGGCATTACAACCATCTATAAACAGATAAAACACACATGTAGCAAGGATCCTATCATCCAAGCATCAAATATACAAAAAGATGCGAAGAGAAAGTATGGTAAACACTAGCCGTGGACGACTCTGGTACCCTTTTTGCATGATAATGCCGGGACAGAGTCGTGGTGCAATGCATAGGCCAAAACCAACCTTTGCCGTGCCGGGCCTCATGCAACGGGCCGGCCCCGGATTTTTGGTGTCGCTGGCTTCCCGACGCACTCACCTGCCGGGCCGGGGGGGATAAGACCCTAAACAAACGTAGCATTTAACCACAACACGGCCTCGGAGCACGTAACTCCATACAAACCATCGGCGATCGGCGGCCATGTTGAATTCAAGGATCGGCCTGCAAAACAGGCCGGACCCTGAGTTTACGACAGATTACGTCGTCATTTTCTACTCTCCAACGTTCAAGCTGCAGGTATCATGACGTAATCTGTCGTAAACTCAGGGTCCGGCCTGTTTTGCAGGCCGATCCTTGAATTCAACATGGCCGCCGATCGCTAAGGATTTGTATGGAGTTACGTGCTCCGAGGCCGTGTTGTGGTTAAATGCTGCGTTTGTTTAGGGTCTTATCCCCCCAGCCCGGCAGGTGAGTGCGTCGGGAAGCCAGCGACACCAAAAAACCGGGGCCGGCCCGTTGCATGAGGCCCGGCACGGCAAAGGTTGGTTTTGGCCTATGCAGCGCACCACGACTATGTACCCGGCATTATCATGCAAAAAGGGTTACAGAGTCGTCCACGGCTAGGACAGTCCAAGAAGGACAAAATTTACTTGCTGTGGCCTTACTAGCAAATACAGGTTTGATTTTAAACCTCCTAGGCCTTGGATAGTCTAGTCTCTTAGTTTTCGCCTTCTAAGAGTTTTATACGATTCTTTTATGGGCCACAGAATGACTTATTTGGACACTTCAATTTTAAGCACAAGACAACTAAAAACGTCTTTTTCATTTTGTACTAGCTTGAAGTTAACAATTGCAACTGTTACAAGTAAAGGAATTTGTCTATTTTTCATCCATAGATGACAAATACACTGCAGAATAGCAATAATGAGTACAATATTATGCCATATTATGTGTGTTTTGTATTACAAGTTATAACTATAAATCAATGGTTATCTTAAGTCCATGTTTTTGCCCTTTTTTTATTTTCAGAATCAGAACAACATGGCGGAAGAATTGCGCCACGTCAAGAAACGAAAGAAAGGCCAGACCTTCAGCAACAATATCGCAAACTTCTACCTGCAGGTGATCGGTGCAGGGTCCCGCGACACATGTCCTGCTCTCTTTGTCTTCAGCGATAGTAAAAGGTATGAGAAATTAGATTGGCTATAGTATAGGATTGTTGTGCTGTAGGGTACATATATACTAGTACTCTGTCTGTACCAGTGTGAGAGACCTGTTAACTGTGCCACCTAGCAGTTGCTTAATAAACTGCATGTAACTGATCTAGAACATTTAGTTTACCACTTGACACATTTATCAGTTCAAGGATATTACTTTTAGTATCTAATGTAATTGGCCAGTTCAAATTGCAATTTGCATCAATCTTTTGAACTTTTAGTAAGCAAAGTGCTTTCCCATATGCATTTATAATTTCAGCATTTAAACAGAATCTTCTTGGCTGAATAATTATTAAAGCAAAGAGGTTTTTAAAAATGCTTACCTTCTTGGCCAAAGACAGAAAAATAACCACAATGTCTATAAATAAAGTGAATTGCATGATGTAGAATAGTAACATTGCTGTTGAAACAATTATTGTCTTCTTTGCAATCAGATATCTTTTCAACTGTGGAGAAGGGACTCAGAGAATTATGATGGAACACAAGTAAGTAATCATCTTTCAGTTCACCTACAATTAACAAAACAAGCTAAAAGAAACTCACTGGTTAAGAAGGCAGCTTGGATTTAGAATAATTTTATGCTAATTATAGGGTGTAAATTTTTAAATTCTAAATGTGTGCAAAAAATAAAATGCAGTTGCAATGTGCCAGCCTATACAGTACAGACCTTGATTAAATGCCTTCTACCGCGCCTTTCATACATGGTTTGAACTTTTTTATTTCTTGTGATAAAGTCACATCAGGGCTCGAAATTCATTTTTGGGAAAATGTGAACTGGTACACCTAAAAAATTAGTTGCACCATATCAAATGAAAACTAATTCTTACTGCTCCTCTTCTGAGCTTGAATCTGACATAGGAGCTGACTTCAAAAGCTTAAACAAGTACTACAACAAAGATTTTATTATTTGACACTTGTAGGCCTAAATATCCTGTATACTATTAGGATTGAATATGCACAAAAATACCTACAAAAATATTACAAAAATACCACAGAAAAAGTTAGCTCCAAATTTGGGTGCACTAAGGTGCACATTCACACAGTATTTCCAGCCCTGCACGTACATGTAAGTTTAAATTGCATCTGAAAGCCATGTAAAAGCTTTTGCACCTGGATACGTTTAATTGAGAAAAGCATGACTTTATTGACATGTCCAGGGTGAAGGTGAGCAGAATGGAGGACATCTTCCTAACCAGAATGAGCTGGAACAATGTGGGAGGTTTGGGAGGTAACTTCAGTCAGTTCTTAACTTTTTCTTAACAAGACTGGCAATGAAAACATACAACGCCATGGCGACGGTGGTTGCTGTTAGGGTAATTGTTTGCACGGCACTGCCATGATTTCATGATTTTGAGGAAGACTTGGTACAGATACAGTACACTCCTCCCCTGAGTGTATAGTGAACGAGCCCCGGGGTCACAGAAAGTAGGGCCAGACAGGTCTTCCCGAGGGTTTCCAGGAATGTGGGCATAGATGTGGGTCAGAGACATGCCTGTGGACATTCCATTCCTGTTGAAAAAATACCTGTACCATTCCTAGAATTCTTGCAAACTGCACACAATACTGTACCATTAGGCTCCTCCCTGAGGCGTCGCCAAAAACTCATCTAGTGCATATATATACATATATTTTGCTATTAGAAGTCATTTTGAAGTATACTGTAAGTTTACACTGTAATTTCACAACACAAAAAATCGGATGACACGTTGCCCAAATTTTTAACTGTCACCAAAGACTTTCTGCAACCTATACATAGACGATCCTATAGTCTCCACCAGACTCTTTTGCAGGCTGATAAATGGTAGAAATCAGCCTAAAAAGAATGTAGCTGGCCAGGGGAGTTGGCAAACTGGACCTTCTATGGCTGGCCAACTCCCCTGGCTAGCTCCATTCTTTTATTTTTTAAAGCCAATTTCTATCATTTAATCAGCCTGCAAATGAGTCTGGTGGAGACTACCATTGATCCACTGATCACCGAGTCACCGAGACATAACAATTATTGACATCACAGAAGCAGTGGATTGCTCATTCGAGGACTGAAGTTGTACAGCCCAAAATGTGTTTCTGTTGTTTCTGTTGTGCCAGGTATGACCCTGACCCTACAGAGCATTGGTGTACCAGAAGTGAGGGTGTATGGACCTCCAAATGCAGTGAGTCTGACACACAAATATTTTCTTAGTGCGGAAATTCTAAGTAGACAAATATGGCTGTCAATTAACGTTCAACCAATGAGAGAGCAGATGCCAAAGTTTTGCATTTGCCAATACACATGTAATTCATTTGTTTTACATTCCTGAGTTTTGATAGACATACTGTAGTTAGGTTTAGGTTATAGCATTGTAGCCACCTGTTAACTGTGCCACCTAGCAGTTGACGGACAAACTGCAGATAACAGATCTGTCCTCTGTAATTAAACGGTCAACTGCTAACTGGCACACAACTTGACACTTTTCAAATTTCAAATACATTTTTGTACAATACACAACTAGCAAGTATAGCTCTTTATATTATCTTTTTTTCTCTAACAAATATTATAATTTCTTAAAGGTGCAAATAAAAATTTAATGTAGTAAAAAGTTGAAACAGTTTTGCAGTTGTTTAGCAGCACTGTTTATTATTGTTCTTTGAAATACTGTATTACAGGAAGATTTCTATCAAGCATTAAAAGACTTCACATACTTTCCCAAGATAAAAGTTCGTAAGTATACATTTAGATGATAATTATACAGAATTATAAATTATAGCATATCAAATCAAAATATTTAAAGCAAAAAAATATATATATACCTTATGGTCAGCATGCCTTTTTCTGTTAAGCAAAGTCTTAGTCTTTCTGTTTGTAACAGTTGCCAATGCTGCAGCATTGATTTATACAATATAGTTCAAAATTCAATGCATAATTTACATGCCTTGTATATTAATTTTTTTTGCATGTTGAGTTGTGGCTCCTATGCTAGCATTTGGGGCTATCATAGTTTGCCCCGGCCTGTTTTTTTTTTAGATACCTGTATTATTGATTTTCTTACAAATTTTGAGAAGGAACAAATGAAAATGGTGTTTCCTTTCTTGTCCCTTTCTGCCCCAGGTGTGAAGCCGTACCATCTGTCCCCCATGTCTGATGATGTCATGACTGTTTGGCAGGTGCCAATCAGAGGTGAGCAGAGAACTTTCTCTTAGGCAGCACATCGGCAAAACGTACTGCACCAGCGCAAAAAACTGATTTTAACGGCTTTCGTTGGTCAACATTGCATAAGAATTTTGCCTATTGCAGTATTAGATATGTAAGTTTACTGTGATACAAGTACAAAAAAACTTCTCTAATTGCATTATGTACTCTCATCCAATCACAGCTCCTGACACATCATCACCTGGAGCAGGTCTCAGTCCTAGGGTTGGGTCAAGGTCACCTGACCATGATCTCAGTCCCAAAGCTGGCAGCTCTCCTTCCCAGAGTCCAGTGGTCAGGAGAAGCAGTTGTGATGTTTCTGACATTGACTCAGAATCCGATGATTCCAGTAGATCAACCAGCCCTAGAAATTCACCTAGTAAGTAACTAAAAACATCAGAATCCTTAACTAGTAAGTAAAGTTAGGTATTCTCTGTTTGATACCAAATTATATGTAGGAATTATTTTTCCTTTTTAAGACAAAGATGCATTGAGTTTTTCTAGTGTATACGAAAGTATTGTTTTGGGCGGCTGAGTTGTTGGTTTGTTTATTTGTTTGACCACAAATAGGTTGACAAAACTTTAGTTAGGGACAAGATTGAAGTCTAAAATGTCAGATGTTTTGTTACGACTTTTTATTTTGGTTGTAATTTGGGCATCAAAGTTTATTCTATACAATGTATTTCATACATTTCTTACAGAGTCCAAGAGAAGAAAAACATCTCAGAGGGATGAATCCCTTGTTATAAGCTATATTTGTAAGGTATGTCCATGTTTCATATGTTGGCATTATATATTGACTTTACACTTCAGTAAGTAAGTAAGTTACTGCAAGTAAGTTAATAATTAATCTAATTTTGATATATTAAGGATTATTGTAACTAATGCAAAATAATGTACTTTCAAATTTGATCAGAATGGTGAAGTAGCAACTCTAAAACTGTACAGTAACTGTTACTTTGATCATAGTAACTCTTGTAATAGATTTTTTTATTTAACTGTTTAGAACAACAGTACTTTTAAAGGTGGGATGGGCAATGTTTTGCATTAGCTGGCAAATTATTTGCATACACATGTGATTTTTTATGTGCCATTAAACATAAGTTTGCCTTTTTGTATTTACAGTTGAAGCCCAAAAAAGGCAGGTTTTTAACAGAAAAAGCCTTGATGGATGGAATCAAACCGTAAGTATTCATAGTCTACTGACAGTTTTGATAAAATTTACATTTTTGCTGAAAATTACCAAGAATTCTTAAAATTGTATAACTCACCAAAAGAACTGTTGAAAACCAATTACTCCAGACCTACACTATGTTTTGACATCCAGGTAATAAAATACACAAGAAAACTTAGTAAAATACTTAAAGTAAATGGATAGATTTTGAAAACTGTCAGGTAGCATCTACAAATGTAGTCAGTGACAGAATTGGTAGTTGACCAGGTACGTGTGTAATATATCTACGCAAAATTCCGTCAGTCAAAAAGTAGTGGATGCTACATGTACTTAATATGTCTGACAGTTTTCAAAACCTATACAGCTGCTTGAGTAACTTACAGTTCCTTTGTGTGTGTGCTGAATTAACTTATTCAGTTGATTTAATTTTGAAATTCATTGATTTCATGAGTTAACATTGTTAACCTGTAGGGGTGTGTGGGTTGGTGAGTTGAAGAAAGGTAACCAGGCCACCTTACCTGATGGGAGAGTCATCGACCCAACACCATATGTAGAGCCTGATACACCAGGTCCTGTCTTCATTGGTAAGTATAGTGTAATGTGATAGTGCAGTGGGGACACCTTGCAGTGATTATGAAAACTGCAGGCACCTGTTATAGCCAAAATAATGTGAGAAGTTTACCATTTTTGAATCTCAGTACTATATATGCTTCTGAAATATATTGTATAGTGGTTGATACCATTCACATTGACACATTATGTAGCTGTCTTTGCTGTGCTGAAGAAAATGTTATTTTTTGGTTTTTGTGTACATTTTCCAGAAAAACATGTCTGGTGTAATTTTTTGTTTATTTCACAGTGGTGGAATGTCCAGGTGAGGACTTCATTGAACCAGTCACAACTAACAGCCAGATTGCAAAGTAAGTCATGGCAGGAAATTAAAATAAACTTTACTGTTAGTTTTATTGTGATGTTATTGTACGTAAATGTATTACTAGCAGCCTCCAGTTTAATTCCGGACAACCTCCCATATCTCAGCAACCTTAAACCCAGATGGGCTAATATCGCAAACCATAGGTAAAAATGATGTGAAAAATATGTAGCAGCTATTCGCGACCCCCTGGGGATTCGTCCAATTATGCATGCATAACCATTGGACAATTATGCATAACTGAAGAACTATTATGCATAACCCTTGAGCTTCATGCCTAATTATGCATAACCCCTCAAAGCATTATGCATAATATGCATAATTATGCATAATTGGACGAACCCCCAGGGGGTCTCGAATAGCTGCTACATATTTCTTACATCATTTTTACCTATGGTTTGCGATATTACATGTAGCCCATCTGGGTTTAAGGTTGCTGAGATATGGGAGGTTGTCCGGAATTAAACTGGAAGTCCGGAATTAAACTGGAGGCTGTTTACTGTATTTTAGAATCATCATCGATGGTACTTGTACATACATTTATGTACATGTATATCATGAGTTCCACTCTTTTTCTCATGCAGGTATCAGGAGGATGGGGAAGAAGAACTACCAGCTATTGTTGTCCACTTTACTCCAGCAGGAGTAGCCAAGGACACACGCTACCAGGACTGGATCACAAGGTACATGTGTAGGGTACTGAAAGGAGAGACTATAGAAGAGGTCCGCACTCTGTGGTTGCCTGCTAGAACTGTCTCCTCAGACACTGTCGTCTGAGTCCTTTATTCACACATAGTAATCGGTTACAGATGTGGTCAGTCTGGTGACAGTTATGACGACTTCCTGTCACAGGGGACATGGGGGGTTGTCTCCTAACAACACATTGCAACACATGTACATGTACATGTGGGCTGGGCACACAGGACTTTCTGTCATTCTGCCAGTACCAGTTAGGATACACCAACATATTGAAATCGGCTTGGAGGAAAGGCCAACCCTAACAAAAACCTGCTGACCCTTAGCCTTAGTTTTGGTTGCCTAGTGCAGAAAGTTGAAAGCGTTAACTCCAGTGTCCTAGCCAACCAGAAGTTTCTTCCGTCATCTCAATTTTGTTTGACATAACATCATGACATTGTGTAGTGCTGAACATGACAAACCTAAGGGCTCTGACAGCAAATTTTAAATCTTGACCCTCTGAAACACTATTCCTGCATTTTGAGAGAAAAACTTTGCTGTTAGACTAGTAAGCTTAATTTAAGGACATCTTTTCCAAAATACAGACATTTTCGTCGGTCAAAGATAACAGATTGGGAAAAATTTTGAGCTGTCATAAATTATGATACAATACAATTTTGTACATGACTGTAGATTATCTTTAGCATTGATTATGGATTAACTCTGTTGAAATTGCACAGTATTTTAGTATAGCTCATGTATCTACCCTTGTTGTTTTTTCTTTGCCATACATTGTACCAGTTTCAGTTGTTGTCAGCAATAAAGTCATTTGATTTGATTTTGATTTAGCAAAATTCTGTCAATGACGGAAAGATGGTTTCTGGCTAGAAGACTGGTTGACCCTTTCACACCAGCAGGGTGAACCCATTGAAGTTCCTATCTTTTACACAGTGACACTGTAAGATTATATTTACCATGTGTTTCTGTGTGTTTACCAGATTTGGACCAGACACAGAACACTTGTTCCTGAATGAAGACACCCAGACGACATCTCACGAGGGTACAGCCTCTCTCCAGGCCTGTCTCAACATTATACAGCCTACTGTTTTTCCCCTGCTAGCAGACAACACTATCAAGGTAAGGGTAACACTGGGTTTCAAACTCAGCAACTGACCAGTCCAACAGGTCCAGACCTTTTAGCCTTGCAGTTAGTGTGTTGAGGTACAAATTAGACTGGGTTGGAATCCTGGGACCCAGGAGGCTACCACTTGGGAATGCTCCTTTATACGTCGATGAAGGTTAGACATCCAGGTAATACGATACGCCAAAAAACAGTTACTCAAGCAACTGGATATGATTTTGAAAACGTCAGACGTTTCAGCTAGTATCCACTAGCTTTCGTCAGTGACTGAGAGACCAGAGGGGAAAGCAGGTTTATAAGCACAACCTATTGATTGATATGCAAATAAAGTGAAGACAAATTTTTGGAAGTCGAAAAAGGAACAAAAGTCAGACAAGTCAAGACAAGATGATGCAAATTAGTCTGAAAGCTCCTGTTATACAGAACAGGAGCTTAAGTGTTGTCTGTCCTCGGGGCTGGGAGTGCCAAATCCCAAGTGCCCCTTTATGTTCCAGTGGACACAGGAATCTTGACTTCAGAGATTTGAGGACAAATCTAAAAGATTAGAGGGAGTAGTGTAACGGGGGCATTCAAGTTCCACTAATTGACCATTCCAACTGGTCTGAACCTTTTAGCATTGTGGTAAGTGTGTTGGGCTGACTGTCTGGGTTCAGCACAGTTTCGAATCCTGGGAGCCAGGAGACTGTACATATAGAATACAACACGGGGTATTCCGTATCACCCGAGGTATCGGCCCGACCGCGGGTCGGATCCGACTCGCGGGAGGGCCAGGACCAAGGACGATGCGGAATACACCGTGTTGTATTTTATTTATGTCATACCCACCAAAGAAAACACGCCTTTCAATGCAAGATGAGCCCAAAGTTGGTGCCACTAAACTGAAACTAAACCCTAAAATGCAACAACATCAATTCCAACGTGCGGATTCTGTATTCGAATTTTCGAAAGGGGCACACGCGGTTAGGGCGAAACGCGTTCAAATCGTTTTACTGAAGCCATGGAAGCGTTCGATAATGGGTTCCGGGGCGTACCGTAAAGTACGGCCCGGTCCGGAACCTGTTATCGAACGTTGTCGCGGCCCGGGTATGATATAATACTTGTTTTTCCATGAATGCATTGTTTGTCACGCTAACCCAGTGAGAGAAGGAAAAATGTGCCACACAGGGACATCAAACTCATATAGATTTCAGGACATTCTAAAAAAGAAAAGGGTGTAGCATGCTTCAAACACAACCAACATGTAGTAACGTGTGAGTGACCTCCAGCTCCATAAGTTAAGGGTTTAACACAACAAACTACACTTACATGTAATGCTGTATGTATTTTTGGAATGTATTAAAATTTGTCCTTTATTCTTGTCTCCAGCCAGGAAGTCTGCCGCCTCTGCCACACAAACATGTCCGAGGGGAGTGTCTGTTAACATACTGGCTGTTCCACAGGGACCAGCCTCTACAATGGGACAGGTAATACTGTGTGTCTGTTAACATACTGGCTGTTCCACAGGGACCATCCTCTACAATGGGACAGGTAATACTGTGTCTGTTAACATACTGGCTGTTCCACAGGGACCACCCTCTACAATGGGACAGGTAATACTGTCTGTTAACATACTGGCTGTTCCACAGGGACCACCCTCTACAATGGGACAGGTAATACTGTGTGTTAACATACTGGCTGTTCCACAGGGACCACCCTCTACAATGGGACAGGTAATACTGTGTCTGTTAACATACTGGCTGTTCCACAGGGACCACCCTCTACAATGGGACAGGTAATACTGTGTCTGTTAACATACTGGCTGTTCCACAGGGACCACCCTCTACAATGGGACAGGTAATACTGTGTGTCTGTTAACATACTGGCTGTTCCACAGGGACCATCCTCTACAATGGGACAGGTAATACTGTGTGTCTGTTAACATACTGGCTGTTCCACAGGGACCATCCTCTACAATGGGACAGGTAATATATACTGTGTGTCTGTTAACATACATTGTACTGGCTGTTCCACAGGGACCATCCTCTACAATGGGACAGGTAATACTGTCTGTTAACATACTGGCTGTTCCACAGGGACCACCCTCTACAATGGGACAGGTAATACTGTGTCTGTTAACATACTGGCTGTTCCACAGGGACCATCCTCTACAATGGGACAGGTATAATACTGTGTGTCTAAGGCCTACAACATGTATATATAGAGGAAAAAAGATATGTTTCCTGTTGCAGTCTTGGAGGACTTTTCTTGACTTGCATGTAAAGTTTGAATGTTTACTGTTCCCCTAATAGATCCTCCATTCCATTGCTGGACAATGAAGAGGCTGTAAAGGGGGCTTTTGCTTTGCCTGGATTTGAGGACAGCCTTAAGGAGATGAAGGAGACAATTGCAACAGCATTTTCCAGTGATACAGCAGGTAAATACATTGTACTAGATACAATATAATAGAAATACATGACAGAGGCACCTGACACCCATGACAATCTGTGAAAAAACTACATGGAATGTGGGCACAGCAGACAATACCCAGATATTGAGTGTGTGAGTGATGAGTGATGTACATGTAAATTAACCTTAATACTAGTAATAGATATACTGAAATTGAATAATATGATACTGCATGACAAGAGGGAAAGAAAATGTCATGATATATCAAGTCGTAATAACTTCAAATTTGGCCAGAGACTACAATCTTAAGTTTAAGGCATTACCTTAAAGTTTGCATGTACCGATGTGTGTTTTTGGTTGTTTCATGTCCCCGAAAAATGGCTTTTTAAGTTATTGCTAAGCTGCAGTCCTTTTCAGTAGTTGAGTGCAAGTTGGTGGTTCAATTTTGAAACCCAAGTCTTAGAACACATGATACAGCTCAAAATTATCATTAGTTTGTGAAGGTGTCCATTCTGACAAAACCTTGTATTATGTATACCCAGTGTGTCTGCATGTACACTTGGTGTGCAATGTGTCTGTAACTATTGTATGTCTGTATCCCTCCAGTCTCCCCTTCCTACCCAGAAGTGGTGTTCTTTGGTACAGGGTCGTCCATCCCCAGTAAGAGGAGAAATGTCACAGGAATCCTGGTCCATCTCAGGTCAGTAATGGATCATGGAATGTATTTTTATTTATTATCATGTCATGTACATTGCATACTGTGCCCTAGGAAACTTCCAGTATGGTACACTCAGGTAGTCTCTAGGATGTAATTTATAGATGATGTTAGTCATACACCATGCTTGTTGTTTGAACGAAGCTTCAAGGTTGCAGTACACAGTATTAATGGGCGACCCCCGGGGTCTATGACTCGGGTATAGAAAATAGTACAGCGAATATTCTTGAAGGCTGGGTAGAAAGCCTGATAAGAGCATCAGCCAGATGTAAATTGTGCTGTGTGGTGTAGGAATGTATCGGGTTTGAGACTGTATGATTTGAATTGTGAAGGTTTTGCCTCTCTGTCGGCAAAACTCTTGGCAGCAAAATCGTCCCTCCGTGGCATCACTCGCATCGCTCATGGAAAAAATAATGCCACGCCCTACGAGTCTGTGAAGGAGGCTAAAGTGCACCCTATAATTTTTTACCGCGTCGAAGTGAGTCATCTTGGGGTCCTTCTTCTTAGGGTGAAAACTGTGCTCTGCTACAATGTATTTTAATAAGTGGGCTAAGTACCTTTCTTAAGTTTATATTAAACATTTAACCAGTTATAGCAGGCTCTCAAACATTATTCACAGTCATTTTGATTCTCCTAGACTAAGTGATATGGTGTTGAATGTACATCAAGCACGTCGGCAGAATGTACTGCACCTGCGCAGAACCCCGTATTTTAGCATTTTTCGTTGGGTTTTTGGTCAACGTTGCATCAGAATTTTGCCTGTTGCAGAGGATAGTCTTTCCGACATAACACTTGGAAACTATTGTCGGAATGCTAACCTTATATGAGCAAATACAACCTTATATGAGACATTCTGCCGAAATGCTATGTACAATACATTACGGGTTTCGCGCAGGTGCAGTACGTTCTGCCGACGTGCTCATCAGATTCCTACTGTTTTACCCAGTGAGACAGAGTCTCTGTTGTTGGATGGTGGGGAGGGCACGTTTGGACAGATGTACCGGCACTATGGTGATGATGTGGACAGGGTGCTGGCTAACATCAAATGTGTCTTCATCTCACACATCCATGCTGACCATCACTTGGTATGTCACATATCACAATGGCAATTTTTTTTAAATTTAGGCCACACCAATTTAATTTGTTGGTTCTCGGATTGTTCAGAAAAAAATTAGAGCGACAGGACAACAAAAAAATAAAAACAGGTCTAAGGCATCCTATTATACATATAGCCCCAAATGCTACAATAGGAGCCATGAAGTCAACACAAAACTAGCGTAGCATTCGGGGCTATAATAGAAAGGATGGCTGTTTTATACAATTGTACATTGTCTACAACATATTAGAATACTTCTTAGGTTTAAATATCATGATTGTGCTTATTATATAATTATATTTTTTCAGGGACTGATGAAAATATTTCAAGAGAGAAGAAGAGCACTGGTAAAGAATCATTATATTGATTGAAACATTGACTGCATTAAGCATAGCAAAATATTAGGAGATGTCATTTGAAATCAAGGTCCTTACAACGTTTAACATTTGTCCTTTAGTAAACAATTTGCATTGTCATTTTCTAGTTCTAGACAGAATAAAATTTATTGTTATTAGACACTTTTTGTGGACATTTGAGGTTTTCTTACCAATGCATCATTTTCAGGTTCAGTCTTGCCAACCTGGAAAATTTACCAACTATTTTAACGGTTTGTAAAATGATTTTATGCATGGTTTCTTTTCTGTATTGTACAACCTAGAAAACCCTTGGAGAGCCCCAGCAGCCCATGTACCTGATAGCCCCCCTCCCGTTCATGTCATGGATCAACCACTACAGACTCAACTGTGAGAACATCGGCATGGACAACAAGGACTTCATGTAAGTGCAGTACCCACACAATCTGACAGGGGTCCCTGCTGTGCTGCTGGTTTACATTGCCATGTGAACTTAATGTATTTCAGCTGCTGATCATGCTTATGGCTAGGAACTTCATAGCTTAGTCAGGATTCTATACATTGATTTGTATATTATATACTTAGAATGTTTTAACAGTAGATTGAGTCTTGTATGGTAAAAGGTTTAATTGCAGGTATGAACGAATGAATGAGCTTTTAATATTGCTTGACAATCTTACATGGTACAATGTGTGGCAGTAATGTACAATACTACAAAATTAAACTATCTTCCAAAAATACTTTGTACTTCTTGACCTGTTTAGCCAAAATAAACTACCTTGGGGGTAACATACCAGCTTTGCTGTATTTAATCAACAAACAGTTACTGTACATTTTAATTTTTTTCTACAGCTTACTTCTTTCTAAAGACCTGTCTGTGTTTTCAAACGAAGAACAGAACCAAGAATTTAACAGCCTAAAGGAGAACCTTGGCTTCAAGCAGGTAAGTTATTAGTAAAAGCTAAAAAAGATAATAGTGCCTCATCTTTTTGTGATGATATTCAATTTCTTCAATTTCGCCACCTGTAGACCTATAGGTCTGTCAGCCTCAGGGTCAGGTCCCACCATGCTGCCCTGACTTGTGTCAGATTTTTCATTTCCTTGGCGAACACCTTGCCTCGCAATACAGTGCTTTCCTGATTCTTATAAGTGCTCTTGATGGCCCTGAGAAGTTAAACACTAATGCCAGTCTCTGCTATGACTTTCCACATCTTATCTCTATACACAATCAAAAGCTTTCTCTAGATCAAGGAATCAGGCATGTTGCTCAATGCAATATTCCCAGCTCTTTTCTGTAGCTCCAGGTTGTACCAGTCCTCCATGTCCAGTACCACAAGTGTAACACACTTTTTGAACAAACTAGGCTGGCCCACCCTGAAAGAGAGGAGAAAGATTGCACGAGTGACACTGTTTTTCAAGGCCATCAATGACCAAGTATCCATCCCCATACACAACTACACTAGCAGAAACACAAACCCTACAAGGGGTCATCCCCTACGCTACACCACATTCACATGTAAGACAGAAACCTACAGAGCAAGTTTCATACCAAGAACAGTTATGGAATGGAACACCTTACCAGCACACATTGTCACAGCGTCAACTGTAGATAGCTTTAAGCTTGGGCTGGCCCAGTACATGGGCCATCCCTGCTCCCAGAGGTAATCAGGACTCCAAGTGCGGCCATGTAAATAGAGTTTAAGCACAATTTTGGGTCTTTTTTTTTCTTTTTTGCACTTTGTCGTTTTCATGTTGTTCTTTTCAGCACCATCACCCCACCGGCCGCACTTAGCCGTGCACCCAGCACCCTGGTCGTGATGCCCCAGTGAGGGGTTTTGACCAGTACCACATAGAAGTAGAAATGTCTGTTGTTCTGTCCTCTGTAGCTCCAGGTTGTACCAGTCCTCCATGTCTGTTGTTCTGTCTGTAGCTCCAGGTTGTACCAGTCCTCCATGTCTGTTGTTCTGTCTGTAGCTCCAGGTTGTACCAGTCCTCCATGTCTGTTGTTCTGTCTGTAGCTCCAGGTTGTACCAGTCCTCCATGTCTGTTGTTCTGTCCTCTGTAGCTCCAGGTTGTACCAGTCCTCCATGTCTCCCGTTCTTACGGCCTGGTTGTGACCCACAATGATGGCTGGAAGTTGGTGTATTCTGGAGACTCCATGCCTTGTGATGCCCTCATCATGGCAGGTATTGTGTGTTTCTAACCTTTAAGATTTTGAATAATTAGATTGTCCCCTAGCAGTGTGGCCCTCTGACCAATCAGCTCTTAAGATGACAATTTTTTTATGTAGCCTGAAGTGTTGATGCTTAGTGTTCTGTCAGAAGTACATTTTATATTTATGTCATACACAATCATGTACTTATAACAGAAAATTTGGACTTTCTTTGAAGAAATGGTCTGCATTCATATGTCTGTTACAGTAACTATAAGATGACAATTTGTTTGTCGCCTGAAGTGTTGATGCTTAGTGTTCTGTCAGAAGTACATTTACTTAATAAATTAACTTATTATAAATTATTATAACACAGAATGTGTTATCTGAATTTGGACTTTCTTTGAAGAAATGGCCTGCATTGATTTATACAATTATTGTATTTATTTGTTGACTCTTTGGCAGGTAAAGATGCCACACTACTGATACATGAGGCTACGTTTGATGATGAACTCCACCAAGAAGCAAAACGGAAGAGACACAGGTACTACATTGTACTACTGCATATATGCAATTTTCACTGCTCGCCGTACGTGCAGCTGCATGCCTTCTTTGCACAAAAACACGGGCAAATTTTTCTTTTTAGATATTATGAACAGTTTTTAAGTCTTTATTGAAGTTTAGATTGAAATTACTAAAACATCTGTCTGACTCTTGTATCTGTTGGGACATGTAATGCATTACCTAGTACAGTTATTTTTAACTGTAATATTTATTTGTTCATGGCTGTCGCAGTATCAGTTTGGAATGTAATCACTATTGAATGTAAAATCTGCAAGAGTGACGTGATCTGTGACGTCATCAGCAATTGAAAAATGTGTCAGGTAGTTTACATGTATGCCTCCCACCATCTCTAACTGTTGGCCAAAGTCAGTGAAACAGTTACATATAAATTATACATACATGACTATATATGTATGGTCACTGATGTGTTTAACTTCCAGCGACAGCAAGCTTGAGCCATCTATGTTCAAGGAATCTAGTGCTCAATGCATGAACATTCTGCCTCAACAAATTTAGAATGTAGAATTCTTTGCCTTGTAGTTCCTTGACATGAATTGTAGTATCATGCTGTAGCTCACAGGTAAAATTTGTGTGGTGCAAGTTTGCAGAAAAAAGAAATTTTGAGCCATGAATTGCTTTCCAATGTTTCCCCCAGCACCATTACCCAGGCCGTGGATGTTGGTATTGAAATGAACGCTGGCTTCAACCTGCTGACACACTTCAGTCAGCGCTATCCCAAGATCCCCCTCATGGACAACGGAGGAGAGAAAGTGGGCATCGCGTTCGACCACATGAAGGTGACACGTTTTTCTTCAAAGAGAATTTTGGCAACAAATTCTAGAATGTAGGAGGTTGTTGAACTCTCAGAATTTGAGAAATCTATAGCTAGACTGAGTTGCGTTTGCTGAATAGTCTCTTCAAGGTGGAAGTACATACCTTACACCTGAAGTCCCTGCCATTATCCAGCAAACTAAGGTTCTCTAGAGTTCAGAAGCAGTCTGACAAGATTTAGGTCATGCCTTTCTTTCAAATTTGAGTACAATTTGAGTCAAAATTTGACGGGCAACCATCAGCTGACCATTTTGAAACATTCAGCCGACCAGTAGCCCACCTCGCCGAACACCAGCCAACCACAGCCAACCTTGCTCAATGCTCCTAACCATGCATGGTTGGGGAGAGTTCGGCAGTGTTCGGGAGGCCATGTTCAGCTATGTGTGACAGACTGAATTCTCAGTTACCCTAACTAAATCCTGCTCCTAGCGGGTGGCCAGTTGTCAGTCGGAAAGTTGTCAGGATGGAGTCAATTGACCATAGCCAGCGAGAGTTTGCGTAACACAGGCTAACTGTTAGTAATGTTAAGCTAAATGTTTTTGTGATGACTTTTCAGCAGGGCAAGCCCTTTGTAATAGCCACTGTTTAGATGGGCTGCCCTGGCTGTGAGAATTGTACAGCCGAACAACAAATACAATCATTATTTAAATCACCTGCATGTCTGTTGTGTACCACAGGTGCGTCTGGGTGACCTGAAGCTCCTGCCTCACCTGAGCACACCTCTACAGGCTCTGTTCCAGGAGGAGCTACAGGAGATGAGAGTCAAACAGAAACGCCACAAACGGAACAGACTTGGGGGTCTCATCGACTAAAACTCACCAAATATAGCAGATAGAAAATAAGTTATAAATATGTTCAAGAAGATAAAGATATACATTTTTGTACCATTGCTAACTAACCACTAATAGTTGGATTAAGAAAATTTGTACAAGAAAAGGCATGCTTAATAGATATAGGAACAGGACTGTCTCTCAAAGTCTGTTTATCCTCTAGGCTGTAAATTATGTAAATAAAACTGACAGTTTTGAAAGTTTATCTGTGTTGGTAGAAGTTATCATGAAGCAAGTTTAATCTATAATTTCCAACACAAGAAATTGGACTAAATTTTGCACTGTACAACTCCAGTCTTTGTTTCAAGGAATGAAAAATCCACCGCATCTGGTATGTCACGTTACTACAGATGACAACATGTGACTTTATCAGTGGATCATAGGTTGCAGAAAGTCTGTGGCGCCCACCATCTGGATTGCTCATTCACAAAGACTGGAGTTCCACAGTCGTAAATTTGGGTAAATCCAATTTCTCATATTGACATTACGGTTTAAAATTGCTTCATAAAAAATTATTGTTGACTTTCTGATCATTCATGCAACGCATAATTTCACTTCATATGCATCATACTACGTAATGGTTCCTACTATTACTTGATTCTGACAGTATATTAATTTTTCTGTTTTTGTAGCAAGTACAGAATAATGAAGAGACAACGATATTTGTCAAACATTATTTATTTTATATCTCAAAAACAATCCTAAAATAATTATACTTTTTCTCAGATCTTTGTATGGCCAGCCATGTCAGTCTATTCTTATCTGTAACAGTTGCAATTTTTTTCCAATATTGTCATAATTAATGTTCATGCTTTCAAGAATAAACAAATTGTATAGTACTGTACCAGCCTTAGCATTGTATTCTCCACACACTTAAAGGCAGCCAATACAACTTCAGGACAGCAAAACAAACAATATTCTGGATGAGAGAATCTGTCTGATATTGACATTTCTTGGTACAGTTTCATTACAGTCTTCATGCTTAAAGCATTTGAAAAAAAACAAACTATGAGAAGCATTTTCTAATTATTTTGTGGTACCACTTATAAATAGGTACCACCTGTAATCAGCCTATGATGTAAAACAAGCAATCATTTTCTGTCAGCGACATCAGAATTTTGCCTCACAGATATCAGTTTACCGTGTGATAGGGTTGATTCAACATACTAAAAAGAAATATTAAAAAGAATTGATCAGAAAAGTGACTTTGAATATCCAGTTTTGCTGCCCTGAAATAACAATTTGTACATTGGATGCCTTCAATAACGATAATTGTAAATTTACAATATCTTTAATCACATCAATCACACAATTACAAATTAAATGTATCTTTAACTTTTTTTACTGCAGAGGTTAGGAGACTAAGACCTATGCACATCAGAAACACAGCAATCTTAGGGATATCTTAAACTAACATACATGTAGAACAATTGTAACACACAATGAAAGTAATATGCACATGTACACAAATGTACATTGTACTTAGAATACAGATGGTGTTGTGCTACTGTACTGTTTTCTAATCTCCAAGCTTATCTTTTAGTGGATGCAAGACAGTTACTGTTATCAAACTACCTCTGAGTCAGTGTTGAGGTTAAAACCATCCAAATACAAACACTGAAGACAATAATATATTAGACAGGCACTTCTGATTCATAATCAATTTTAAAAATATTTTCTAGTTGCTGATTGTCAGTTTTTCTATTGATAATATAAGATGATCTTAAAACTACACTGTCTTACAATGTAAGCCAGTTAACTTACATGCATTGAAGTTTTTCAATACCAAAATGCTGTCAGACATCTCGTCACAAACAACATTGTAGCTGCCAGTTCAACATACATGTAGCTGACATTTGTTTCAGATTTCCACATTGTACATGATTGTATGGCCTAAATTAGATTGAAGCACGGTCAAATAAGCAAAGGAGTGATTCTACCACTGTCTCCTTCCGTTGGCCAGGCCCCTAGAAACTTGATAGCCATGCAATACTAGTACTAGACTAGCTTTTCTTTTTGTGTGTTAGCATAGTAGTGGAGGCTGTGATTTTTTTTAATTAGTGACAGAGAATCCGGAGTTTCTAGTCATGTACTTGGACATTTTCATAGTGACTGAACATCCTAAGTTCCTATTGGACTGATTTTCTGAAAATTCTGACCTCCTACTGGTTGAACTGATTTTCACGGTGACAAGGCATCCTGAGCTTCAATTCTGAGATCCTATTGGACAGATTTTCACAGTGACAAGGAATCCTAAGCTCCTATATTGGACCAGGTTTTCATTTTCTAAATCGGTCTCCTGACTAGAAATGAACAGCCACAAGCTCTTGATGTACATGTAGGTTAGAGATACATGATTGTGTAATACAGGTTGGTCAAGTGAGTCTTTTTCCAATATAACAGTTCCACAGGCACACATGGCTTATACTTGTAGTTTAGAGTCCTCTATTCAAGTCTGTCTTGATCTCAATACCTGTTGATGCATCTTCTGGCTCTTCAGTCTCCTGAAAAAAAAATCAAGGAATGTACATTTAGTAATATATTGGCAGTGACAGGAAAAATATTCATTGTTAGGCCACAGCAAGTAAATTTTATGGATGACATCCTCCCCAAACTCCAAATCTAATGCGAGCGGGCGAAAAAAAAACAAGGCGGGCCGAAAAAAACAAGGTTCTTACATTTTAAAATTTTTGACTCAATCATTGTACAAGTGGTTTTTATTCAGTGGGAACATCACATATAAACAGCCAACATCACATATCACTGCATCAAAGTAAGAAATAAAACATTAAATCAGAGCGTTTTCTTGTCTCCTCTCTCCTCTCTTCTGCCATTCACGTTCCGGCATGACGGCAGACATCTTTGCCCATTAGCGGCATGTTGACCACTGTCAGAAGGCAACAAAATTTCTTGTTTTTTTTTCCGAAATCAGGCGAAAATTAATGCGCGCGCGGATGTCATCCATAAAAATTACTTGCTGTGGCCTTACAGTAATAAAATATATGTATGAGACAATACCCTAGCTCTTTTCACAAAAATGGTGAACAGTACTAGTGGACCACAGTTTACATCTCCTGTGGAGTTCTGCTGTCACAGTGTTGATGTCTGACTGAGTCCAGTATCCTGCTTCATGTTGTCAAGGCAAAGCCACTGGACTATTACTAATGAATAATGTAATGTGCCAATTTTGCTGGTTATGTGATAGACTACTGTAAATGCTGTACGAACCCTGAATAGTCCTGGCATGACTGTTCAGTCTGGGGGAGGACCCGGCTTGTCGGCGCCGTTTGTTACCGTTGGCGTCACATGATGAACAGGCAGGCCGCTTTCTGGAGGAACTGGAACTACTCGGACCAGCTGGAGAGGAGACAACATGTCATTGGTTGGAAAATCTATCACCTCATGTTCATTTCCAAGAACTTACTCTACCAATGTGCCGGATATCTATATTTATGAACAGTGCAATGTTGCAGCTTCTACAATTCTTAAAAAATAATACATGATATGGTTTCATGTCTTAAGTTAGGAGATGTCAAATTGCAAGCTTATTAATGACATTGTGAACCCATTGTTTTTCTGTTAATACTTCTATATTTGGTTGAAAATTACCTGCATAAGTGCAATGCAGCACTTAATGAGCACGTCAGCAGTAGTATACGTACTGCACCTGCACAAAACCCTTACTGTATTGTGCATAGCACTTCAAGTTCGACAGATTGTCTCACTTTTTTTAAGGTCGTATTCGCACATACAAGGTTAACATCCCGTCTATATACATGTAGTTTTGTTGTGTCGTGTCTGAAAAGATCTCATCTGCAACAGGCAAAATTCTGATGCAACGTTGACCAAACATCCAACGAAAGCCGTGAAGAATCGGGGTTTTGCGGAGGTGCAGTACGTTGTGCCGACAATATGCTTGCTTTAAGAACAAAGGGACAATTTTGCCCTCAGCTGCAATGACTTAAGTGCAATCACTTTGAGTGATTATTACTGATTGAAGTATCAAAAAGTCCTACTCACCACTTTCCACCTCCTCCCCTCTGTCCTGACTGACCACCCCCATGCGGACCTTCCTGCTGACCTCGTACAGACCGTGGATAAACTCCTCGGCCGTCCCGCCGCGCTCCTGGTACAGGGTCAGCAGTAACGTGAAGGGGTCGTCCGCCAGCCCAAACCTGCTGACCTCTCGTCTGGTGAACCCCAGCTCTGCAGCAAACTGTCTCCAGTTCTCTTCTGATGTAATGCTGAGCATGGCTGGAACCACAAGCGTAAGGCCACACCAATTTAATTTGTTGGTTCTCGGATTTTTTCAGAAAAAATATGAAGCGACAGGGCGAAAAAAATAAAAATAAAAACAGGTCTAGGCATCCTATTATAGGCTTAAATGCTATGGAATGAGCCATGAAGTCAACACAAAAGGCTGGGTTAAAATTTAAACATTGAATTTTGAACTTTTAATCAAACCACTGCAATGATAGATGGGAAAACTGTAACAACTAGGAAGAAAAGGACTTCCTCAACTGTTGGGGGCGAAAACAATGAGCATTTTTCTAGTTGATTCAGGACCAGAATCAAATTTTTTTCTTTTTGTCAAATCAGAAAAAAACGAAAGAGGCGAATCCGAGAACCAACAAATTAAATTGGTGTGGCCTTAGTGTAATGATATCAAGCTTAAATTCAAGCAACAATTTACTTCTACATGTATCCTCTGCATGTCTCTAGTTGTTGGCAGAAACACATAGAGACTGTTGATT